AGATACAACACTTTGTAGTAGCGTGCAGTACCCTACTATTACCATCTACTTTGTCTGTACTGGAAGATTGATTTTTGTTGCCGCAGCTTGCTAGATGGTTGCAAACAATTGGAAAAGGTCAGACAAAGGTCAACCATAGGTCAATACAGGCTGTGGCTTCAAATGCTCTGTAAAACGTAGTACTACATGACACTACTTTTTATGGCCAATTGCATATCGGTAAAATTGTCCTAAAACCCCATGTTTAGTGAAGTTTAAATTCCACTCCCAACCCCCTATTGGCATAGCCTGTAGCCTGTCTTTTTTAACTGTTCTTAGTGACAATTGTCCAAATCTTGGGCTCTTTGGTTACACCAAGTCCATTTCCTCATCAGTATAGTGACACAACAATGTGGCAACAAATACCACCAACAGAAATTTGAAGTCACAACAAGTTAGGTTGTACATGGTCCACATATTTTTCAAAAGTAAGTTGAACCCTTCCCACAGCCTGATCCACCAGACTATATAAAATCAGCACGTCGGCAGAACGTACTGCGCCTGCGCAGAACCCCGTATTTTCGCATTTTTCGTTGGGTTTTTGGTCAAGGTTGCATCAGAATTTTGCCTGTTGCAGAGGATATTCTTTCCGACACAATATTTGGAAACGACTGTCAAAATGCTAACCTTATATGAGCGAATACAACCTTATATGAGACATTCTGCCGAAATGCTATGTACAATACATTACGGGTTTCGCGCAGGTGCAGTACGTTCTGCCGACGTGCTTATGAAATCTACTACTACTAACCTTATATCATACCCAGGTCGTGATATACTAACCTTCAATAACGTGTTCTATGGAAGCCATAGAAGCTCGGACTGTGCCATAAAGTACGGCCAGGGCTTCCATGGCTTCCATAAGAACGATTCGAACACGTTTCGCCCTAACCTCACATGCTGCTGTCGAAAATTCAAATACAGGATTTGGCCGTTGGAATTGACGTTGTTGCATTTTTTGGGTTTAGGGACACCAAAGTTTGGCTCATTTTGCGTTGAAAGACACGGTTTCTTTGGTGGGTATGAAAATATGACACGGTGTATAGCATCAACCTTGGTCCCAGCCCATATTCGGGTTGGAATGAATGAATGAATGAATGAATGAATGAATGAATGAATGAATGAATGAATGAATGAATGAATGAATGAATGAATGAATGAATGAATGAATGAATGAATGAATGAATGAATGAATGAATGAATGAATGAATGAATGAATGAATGAATGAATGAATGAATGAATGAGACTTTATTTCCATGTCGTGCGCTATCCCGTGCCCAGCCCGTGTGGGCTTATACGACACCGATTCAATAAGTTATACTTATAAACAAAAGAGAATCAAAGGTACAGATAACAGAATCCAAACAAAATATGAACACAAATAAAGGTAGGCTATATACAATACTGGTGAACAAAAAAAATGCAAATAAATAAATCTGTACATAATGAACCAAAATCTCACAAAAGTACATAAGGTAAATCAAACATAATATCCCTCCAGCTTTTGGGCAATCCAACTCGTGGTCAGGCTAGGGTGATACGCTGTGTTGTATTCTATATGTACAACACCTCTTGGTAATAAAGCCTTATTAGCATAATATGCTCTGGCGGTATAACGCAGTTCCACTACCGGTTTCATTACTGCACGGCCATTCTACCCGCAAGTCCCACCACTTTTTTAATCAAGTTAGGCCATAATACCCGCTTTCATTATAGCTATTAAGAATCAATAAATGGGAGGATGAAAGCTGATAATTGTCCATAACCGGGTGGACATGTGTTCTCTAATCTTCCTGTGATGAGCCCAGGATCATCTCTGGACATAATACTGAGCTGAGGAGTCATTCTGTGTTCATTTGCCGGGAATGTTTCTTCATTAATCTTAGTACGCACAGATTGAGGCTCTTGTGACAGTTTCATTATTCTTGCTCCTGAATGGATGAGTGGACAGCCGGCCATAATAAATTGAGAAAGAAAGGGCCATCAAAAGCAATAATGAAGAAGGGTTTGTGATCATTTGACATCACATATCTTTCGGATAAACTGTCAGTAATGTTTGGGGTCGTGTGGTGCAGCGGTAGCGTGTTTGGCTCAGGACCAAGAGGTCCCGGGTTCTAATCCTACCCATGTTACCGATCTTGTGCCCTTGGGAAAGGCACTTTACATGACTTTTCTCACTTCACTCAGGTGTAAATGCATAGTTATTACTTAGCTTCGGTTAGGGACATGCCCACTGTGGGACATGCCTTGGATAGGACGTTAAATGGAGGTCCCATCTTTGGGGAGAGCCACACCCCACGCACGTTAAAAGAAGGGGACCTTCCAGGTGTGAGTGGTTCACACGTAACAGTCTGGTCTTATGCAAATTGTACTTACTTGTACAAAAACTGGTGTGTTACGCCTAAAGGCAGTTTAGTGGTTATGCAAAACAAACAAACAAACAAACAGTAGGGTACAAAGACCCAGGGAGACAAATAGCACGTCACTCAACTAACATGCATGCTACTGGAAAGGGTTGCAGTCACGTTCACACTGTAACAGTCAAAAAGTCAAACAGTCAAAAAGAGTTTGGGGAATTTGTATACTTACTAACTTAGAGGGAAAACTTACTGTGCCAGACAATCATTGCCAATATATATATATGAATCCACAGACTATAAACTTTATCTCAGGCAATATTATGTAAATGCATTGCAGATAATATCATGCCTATTATAAACATCATCATTGTGAATGCTTCCAAGAATGTTGGAAATTAGCTACGTAATATGCATGAAATTGCAATCTTTTTTCTTGTTTGTCATATTTGATAGTCGGTGGTCATCTTAATATCACATGAATTGAAAAAAAATTATTGTTGTACATTGATAATGCCTTTACTGTTTTGGTATGTAATTATCGTGGAAAGAAGTTTATAGCTGGAATAAATCTACCATTACAGAAATGCTGAGACTCCTATGAAATCCAAACCTATTATTGTATCATTATTCCATGTTTTATAGCTTATTACTTCATAACCAGAAACTTTAATGGCATTAAGATTACGATTTACAGGCTTGTATTCCTTTATTACATAATTAACATTGTCAGTCTCTCGTAAACTCATGTATTGTGTTTAGGTCACGTATTGTGTTTGAGTCAAGATATGCTAGAACATGATACCTGGAGATGACAGAATGTTTTATCTTAGTAGTTCAAGTCTTTTCAACTGCAACATCGCATGGCAATGAACGATCCATTTAGTCATTTGTTTGAGATACAGAGGGAGATATTTCAACTGCTTTCAGAAAGCAATTGTTGCTTCATGATGCCTGTAAAACGTTCCATGGTTGATATGCAGCATAAAACAGCGACAAAAAATCAGATATTTCAAATTTTCAAGAAGCATTTTGGGTAACCATGAAGGCATCAGAATTGTATGATCATGGAGAAATATTGCCCGATTGAATTACATCATAGAATGATTTTTTGTTACTTATATGATCTACATGTATATTGTAGACCACAGACCAGTATTTACATTGTACATACATACATGTACATATCCTGGCTTTGATTATACTACTGCCGGCTTCCCTGTCTCATCAGGGGTGGGTAGCACTCGGCATGGTTTATGTTTCAT